CCCCAAAACCCCAAAACCCCAAAACCCCAAAACCCCATTATTTAGGCTAAAAGTTGAAATAGATAATTAAGTAATAAAATAAATTAAGCAGGAAGAATGGAAGTTGAGTAAGGATTTCAGGAGAAATTTAGGGGGAAATTGAGAAGAGGTAGGAAAGGACAGCTAAGCCCAGTGTGTGCTAAGTCCTTGGCTGAATGCAGGCATGCATTCATTGGAGGTAAGCACTAGGGCTTTGGCTTAAGTGTACTCAAGTGGTTTGGAAGAAGAGAGTGGAAGTAGGGTTAGGCTTCGCTGTAGAATAGACTTGTGTTGTCACTGAAGGAATTTCTTAAGGCAATTTGGGGGTGACTAGGTGGGGTTTAGGCAAGAGATGCTTCGCGGGAGGGGGTTTTGGAGATGAGTAGCGGAAGCTGAGGGGGTTCTGGAGATGATAGAAACAAAAATTGGAGATATTATTTTGTGAAATTAAAAATTTCGAACATTTATCGAATGGATTATAATAAATTGCTTAAAAATACACATAACTCTCACTGTTTTAAGAATATCTAGGGTTGATAAAAGAGTGTTATTTACTTTCAGACCTAGTTCGGATTCACTTTCAAAAAATCATAATAAGAAAAAGTAATCTTAACTGTATAATTATCTTAAAAAAATTCGAAATTGATATCTAACTTCCTGATTTAAAGACAAGAAATAGACTATTCTTTTAAACCGGTTTTGGGCAGCCATGGTAGCACTATTAGCTTTCTCAGTATCTTACTGTGGATGCGATTTCGGTGGCTCTTCCAAGCATTGCCAGCTTTATTCTCTAGTGCAATAAAATATTTTTCTTATGAGATAGCCAAGATTTATGAATATTTCATTGTACTGACATTAAAAATGATATCAATAGATTTCTAAAGCCCTTTAAGATAACTTGCTTAAGTTACCCATTAGAAGCAGGTGAAGATTTTATCCAGAGTTTATTTCTGAGTCATCTTAATCAGCTAGGATTGTTTAAGTAGTAATTCATAAGTCTTCCATCTTTGGAAAACTACTAAAAGTGTCATTAAGCTTAAAAAATCAGGTTTATTGCTTATATCCTGATTAAAGTTCATATTTCAGAATTTTATTGCAGAATCTCTTGAGACTCCAGACAAATTATTAATATGCCTATTCTAATATAGCGGCTTAGTTTCCTATTTTCCTACTCCATTATTATATCATTTGCAAAAATTTGAAATAATTCCAAAACGAAAACTTAACTTAAATGTATTGTTTTTACTCTAATCTTATTGTAGATGATGATACATATGAGAACATTTTCAGTCAAGATTACAGTTATGTCCCTACTATGGGAGCGTGGAAAAGAGTCAGTATGACCATGAGTCCCCAATCCGCTATTAAGAAGCCTCAGAGGTAAGCTTCCTCAACTCCTATTGATATAGAAACATAGCTTTCTATTTCATTATTTAGCTTACAGGAATCTGACGTTTTAGTAGGAAGTCTTGTTTTCGAGTGAACTCAGTGACGAGCCAGCCTTCTCTTAAAGACAGAGATGACGTGATTAACAAGTCGCTTTTAAGACTGATGAGAAGGTTCTTCACGACTAGATACAGAGAAGAGTACTCGCGCATAAGGTTCATCAACAAGGATAAGAGGACTTTGTACTACCGCAGTACTTGCTTCCTCTTCGTGTTCAGGTTGATGAAGAACATCCAAGGGGTCTGAGTGGATAGTCTAGTTAAGGACTGCTTCTTCAGGTAAGAAATCCTACCATTCCTTATCAGAGTTTACTGCTTTTAGAAGGATTTCTAACTTTATATAGGGTAAAAACAGAAGGTGAGTTATTGGTTCATAGTATCTTATGCAGTGCTGAGGTCTCGTGTTTGGAAAGTCTATCTTCACTGAGCAAGAAAATATCGAAAATACTCAAAATTTTGACTTGACTCATAAACCCCTGCTTCTATTTTCCTTGTCACTTTAGTAAAGTGCAGATTTTTGGGTTTATACAAGATCTTAAGAGGTTTCAAAGGCTTATTACCTGTTAGTATTTGATAAGATAATGAAAAATTGTAGATTTTTAGAGTACCTGATGACTCATTTTAGTCAGCTAAGAGTTAAAGGATTCGGATTAGCAATATTCTTTATTTGTAGACATTTGAGGACTCATTAAAAATTAAGTGGGTTAACTTACTCACTCTGGTTCAGCCCTTTTAAAGAGAGCTTTAATATAATCCTCGAATGTGAATGAAGCTATCCGAGAATTTTATGAACTGAGTTTGGTTATTTGGGTTCTTAGAGTTAGCCATGAGCTTTACTCCCATTACTTAGGCTTTTTATCAACATTATTTACTTCAGCTCTAACTTTATGATTAATAGTTTATGGGTGAACACCAAAGAAGCCGTTTAGAGCTGAATCTCTCAAGCGCCCTGAGATTGAAGTTGATCAAGAGACTGAGAAAGTCATCAGGGCCATGGGGTATCTGATCAACTCCAAGCCCATGACTAAAGCTGAGAGCATACTGAAGATAAGGTAAGAAGTGCAATTTATAATAGGCCTGATCCAGAGATTTTAGAATTCAAAGAGACGTTCAAAGTCTGTTGAAATGCATATAGTCATCAGTTGTTCTACGAATTGTGTTGCAACAAGTACTTTGCGCATATATTTAGGCTCTTCTACTCCAGTTTTGGTGTCTCTGCTTCTATACAGAGTACCTACTCTCTTCAGAGTCGAAGAGAAATCCCAGAAGATTATGAATTCGTTAATTCAGATAGTAATCATATTCTGGCAGAAAATCTGAAGAAGTTCAAACCAGTTTGTTCTAACTTGGACACATATTTGAAAAGAATTCATGACTTGGCCAAAAGCTTATGAGATTATGAGTAAATTCACAGCTGCAGGTTATCTGAGAAGCAGTATTTCCTAATTTCTTAATGAAAACTCGTTCTTTCATAAAATTAATATGGAATATCTGATGGGAATTCGAAGAGGATTTATTAAGAGCTTCCCATGTTGTATATATCCTATTGATAGCTAAAACATTAAAATGTTAGTAAAAAACTTCTTCAATGCTTTTAAATCGTTCAGGGGTTTTGGGGTTTTGGGGTTTTGGGGTTTTGGGGTTTTGGGG